GCTTTTACATAGTACACTTTTGTTTATAAAATACTTTTTATTTTTGCTCTCAGAGCAATTTTATACCAAAGAGAAAACTGATACGAGATAGATGAGTAGACTGGATGGAAGAATGAGACACTGTGTGTGCGTGTGAGTGTCTGTTTTCTTTTGAGCAGTTTTACTAACAAAATCACTTCCTTTCTAAGCATGTGGATATATTGCTACATTTGAGATTGTCTTTTTGTGTTTTTCCCCAAATTTAATAAAATCTATTGTCAAAGCCATTATGCAAAATTACACTTAATTATAAATTAAAGCATTCACTACCATCTAAAATTGTAAAAGATTAGTTTGTTAGTTTTACCTGTATACACACGTAATATAACAATAGTGACAGTAAGCTTGTAGTGTCAATAACTCTTCTGTGCTCTTTGAATACATTAATCCGTTTAATTATCTCACCAAGCCTATGATGTAACAACTATGCTCACCTTCCTTTTTACACATTAGGGAATCAAAGCTTGGAAAACTTTTGTTACTTGGCCAAGAACACAGAGCTAGTAAAACTTGGAGATAAAATATAAAAGAAATGTTTGGGTTGAAGACATTTTGACTCTAAATGTGTCCTCTCAACCACTTTTCTATATTTCATATGATTACATGTGATCCTCACACAAAACTATGAGGCCTGTGGAATAAAAAATGTTTGTCTTTGCGTATGAAAAACTGAATCACAGAGCATGTAGAAGATAGAAACCCAACCCCTTACTCCAGCACCAGTAATAATAACGTGACGGGCTGCCTCTCATAATAAGATAAGATCAACTGAATTAGATATGCTCATGATCAGTCTTGTAAACTCCAGAGAAAATATCCTATCTTCCATTTAACAGGAAATAGTTTGCATGACTATGGAGTATGAATGAAGAATACTTCATTTTACAAACAAATCTAAATAGTAATTCTTCAAAGTAATTACAATAGAAATTAGTGTCTCTAGGGAGAATGGATGAAGCTAAATTTTAAAAAGTTTGGTGCACACTACAGGCATTTTTAACATTATTTTGTATCAAATTGCCTGAAAAGATTTTTTTAAAATGTGTCTCCATTTTATTATTCCATAGATCTGGAAGGGACATTAGGGATCTGTTTTTCAGAGGGTAAAATCTCACACACAGACACTTAGTACTCACTGGTTTAGCATGTTGTTATTTCTGTGATAGGTACCTACATATATTATTTTGTTTAACTCTCACGATAACCTTATTATATTTTGTAGGTTTAAATCTGAGGCTAAGACAAGTTAAAGTATTTGCTCAAAGAAACAGATAAGCGTTTCAGAAGATGTCAGAACTATTTTATGTTCAAAACTGTTAACTCCAGACTACTCTGACCAAACGCACCAACCCTGTGCATAAATAAAACAATATGGTTTTTCAGAAAATATTTGGGTATGTTTTTTTCTCTGTGAAGGAATTTCCTAATTTAAGAGTCACCCACTAGAAGGAAATTTTGGTAATGACAGGAAGTTTTGACAATTTGTTCACTTTTCTTTTTCAATTACCTAGGCAGTGGCTGGAACTAAATTCTCAGATTTATTAACTTAATGTCATACTGAATATTGCACCTTGACTTATTTTTTTTTTCTGATAATATGTTACTTCATAATACAGGAACATAATTTCTTCTTAAAAAAATCAAAGTAAATACACTAGACTACAAAACAAAGCCAAAAAGTTGTTATATGGTCTTCTGCATGAAAGGGACCTCTTTCTCATAAGTCTCTGAACTCTGTTAGTTCTTCCAGTAACTCTGATGTCTTTTTCTTATTACTCATTTTTCTTTAATTTTTGGACTAATGTTAGACTTACAGAAAAGTTGCAAAAATAGTTACCACATACCCCTGTCTTTGTCTTGTGCTGCTGATAACAAAATACCTAAATTGGGTTAATTAATAAAGAAAATAATTATTTTCTCACAGTTCTGGAGGTTGGGAAGTCCAAAATCAAGGCACAGCATGTGGTGAAGCCCTTCGTACTGTCATCTGGAGGGGAGGAACACTGTGTTCTCATATGGTGAAAGGTGGAAGGGCAAGAGAGACAAACTCCCGCTGTTAAGCTCTTTTATAAAGGCACCTAATCAGGCCCTGTGAGGTGGCTCACGCCTGTAATCCCAGCACTTTGGAAGGCAGAGGCGGGCGGATCGAGAGGTCAAGAGATAGAGACCTCCCTGGCCAACATGGTGAAAACCTGTGTCTACTAAAAATACAAAAATTAGCTGGGAGTGTTGGTGTACACTCTAGTCCCAGCTACTCAGGAGGCTGAGGCAGGAGAATTCCCTGAACCTTGGAGGCGGCAGTTGCAGTGAGCCAAGGTCACACTACTGCACTCTAGTCTCCGAGACAGAGCAAGTCTCTGTCTCAAAAACAAAAGGGCCTAATCTCTTGTGAGGGAAGTGCCCTCATGGCCCAATCACCTCTTAAAGGCCCCACCTCTTAATATTTTATGTTAGCAACACCTGAATTTTGGAGGAGACACATCCAAACCATAGCAACCCCTCACTCAGTTTACCTTCAGTTTAACACCTTACCACAAAGATCAAAACAGGGAAATTAACATTGATATCCACTTCTATTGTCATTACCCAGTGTTAATGTTTTATCCTCTCTTAATTGAACTACTGTTGTAACCTCATAACAAGGCTGATCTCCTAATCTGTGTCTGTACTTCCAATCAAATCTGGAGGCCCTAATAGAGAGAGTGGCCCACAATATGGATGTGCTCTTTAACTGAAATTTCTTCCCTGTTTCCTAGAGGGTACAGCCAGTGCTCCCCATCTTGGCATGAAAATTCCCCTATATTTTCTTCTTAATTTGAATATCCAGGCTTAGCTTTGATGGCAGACTTTTTCTGCCACGTCATCCCTCTTTCTGAATATTTTCTGGCAATTTTATCTCACCATCTTCTTTTTACCTAGAAGGTTTTACTCCCAATTCTTCTGCATCTTATGTAACATTCAAATAACTACAACTATTGTACTCTCATGTGTTCGTTTTTGCTAGCTAGTTGATAAGTTACTTGCATCTGGTGGAATGTGTTACACAAGAGGCATTGAGTGCATTTTTTATAACTGCAGATTTTGTAGAACCTCTGAGTCATCATTCTGAGTAGAAATTCCAATTTTACAGGATTATCAACTGCTCAACAAATATTATTATTACCTTTCCACGTTTAAAACACTTCCAAAAGATACTGACTGACAAGATCTTGCTAAAGTTCTACCCTATTCCAGTAAACACTGACGTATGCTGCTCTCCCCGCCGTTGCTGAGCATGTTGATTTCTGACAGCCCAACACCCATACTCCCTGCACCATTTTGTAGTTGTCGTCCCCTGAAGGATGCTGCTTGGGCCAAGACTAAGGCTCCATTCTCAGGGGGCATCTTGCATGCTATAACTGTTTCCTGCTGGAATATAAAAGCCTGGCCCATTTCCTCAATGGGCATGCCATCTCTAGAGCCCTATGGAGTCCAGTGAGGCCTTCGTTGTAACTGCATCACATCCCAGATGTTTCTGTCCAATTTTGTCTTTTTCACTCCCCCGTAGATATTGATTAAAAACACTCTCCAATAAAAGTTTAGCAAGAAATCTTTATCTCAGAGTCTACTTCCAAGGAAACTAATCTTTAACACCTACCTGCTGTTTCTCATTAAATCATCACAGATAATTTATTCACTCACCCATTTATTCAATAAGTAAAGGTATGTTCAAAAACCATTATGTTTCCAGCACTTGTTGGATGAAGAAGACATTGGCCTTGATCTCACAGCATGTGATTCTTGTTATTACACCAGACTTTTTCAATTTCTTTCCGTTTTCAGGAGTTCCCAGAACTTCCCATAGTCTCTCACACTACTTGGCCTTTTCTTATGTTTATCTTCCTGCTTAGATTTCCTTCTCCTGGTTAAACTCTACCTTTCTTTAATGATTTAACTCAAAGGCAACCTCTGTTAGAAAGATGTTCCTGATCACCCTGTCTGTGCTGGACTAAGTGAGAGATCTATAATTGGTGCTACTGCATTCAGCTGAATTTCTTTTTCTATTTGTCTGTCCCTTCCTCCTCTTATTGCCCCTCAAATTGTGAGCTTCCTGAATGCAAAGATTTGTTGTGTGTGTGTGTGTGCACGTGTGTGTTTATTTACATGTCTGCCAACAATATACTTGGGGAGGCAGGTGGAAGTTATTTTTTTTAAATGGCATAATAATCTATAGCGATGTGGCTGCTCTTTAAATCCAAAATGTATAGGTTTGCTCTTTAACTGAAATTTCTTCCCTATTTCCTACAGGGTAAAGTCAATCCTCCCAATCTTGGCGTTAAAATTCCCCTATATTTTAATATATATACTCCATAACAGGCAAACTGTATATACTCAATTGTTGAATGAATGAATAAAAAATAGTTTTGAAAAAAAGGTTATGATTCTGTTATCTATTATGCCTAATTATGTAAGCAAGATGATTAATTGGTGGTTCAGAGCTAATTTTATATTCTGAATAATTAAATAAGATGGAATAAAATATTCTTTTGATATTTCTGTACAGCTTTTTTTCAGCAGCCAATTTTTCCAGTTATGTTTAGTTCTACTTTTGTAAGACATAAATGTGACATGGTATATTATATTATTAACCTTATATTTCATATTCCTTTGTTAGGATTCCTTTGCATATTCCCCAAGCCCACATGCTTCTAATACTTATCTTTAAAATGAAGGCTACAAAGGAATCTTAAATAATACAGATACTAAAAGTATCTTTATATAGTACTCCAGGACTCTTTCTTTTAAAAGACTTAGGTATAGTTGAAGTTATGACAGAGCAGTTCATCTTCATCTTTTTAAAAAAATTTCTTTTCCTTTTATTCCCTACACATGGATTTCTGTATAAAATACTTGACAAAATATAGCTCTTGGCAAAGGACAATGTGTTAATTATTATCTTTTTTGTTTCTCTTTTTTATTAGGTACGTCTGTCACTAACGTCACTGCGACGGACGCCGATGACCCAGTTTATGGAAACAGTGCAAAGCTGGTTTATAGTATATTGGAAGGGCAGCCTTATTTTTCCATTGAGCCTGAAACAGGTTTGTGGCCTAAATTTCAAATTATATTTCCCATGTTTTTGCTTCAGGGAGACACTTTTCTTGGGATTTGGATTATGAAATATTATGTCTAAGTATTTCACTGCCTGCATCAATAATATTTGAATATGCAATGTGAGGTACATGGTGAGCCCTAAATCATTTTGATGCTGATCACGACAAATCACAGAGCATTTGTAGGATATCACCTATTTAACACACGGTCTGGCACCATTTTTCATCCTGGAATAAAGGGAAGAATGTGCTTATATATCAGACAAACTTAAATAGTAGATTTAAGTAAAAATTCGGTTGCTTATTGGCTGTGTGATACTTGAAAAGTATCTGAGTTGCAATTTGCACATCTGTAAAATGGGTATGGAACGTACTACATAATATTGTGATGAAGATCAGATACAACAATAAATACCAAACACACAGTGCATGGCATGTGGTAGTCATTCAGTGCATTTTAGATATTATTACATTTGCTACCAGATTCCTCCTTGTAAAACACAATGCTTATATCTATCCATCAGAGCTTGTATGAAGATATTATTACAGTCAATATTAAATCCAGCTAATACCCTGTGATCTGGTGGCACAGATGTTATAAGACATGAAGTAAGTTATCAAAGAAACAAACAAACAGCCTTTTTAAACCAGGCTTAAAAAAATAGCTTTATAAAAATAAGTTTTTTATAAATGAAGATATATGTTTTTAATTGTTAAATTTAACAGTATATTAAGAGATCAAATATATTTTGTCTGACTTGTAAATCCTATGAGGTTTTGTTGTAGCACTTTTAAAAACTATTATTAAGAACATAGTTTTTAAAAACATTGTTTAAAAAGCAATACCTTTTTTGTATATTTTCTTCTATATCCAGTGGTATTATAAATTGGGTCTTTTTGTTCACCATTCCCAGTACAAAATAGACACTAATCCAGAAAATACCTATTGAACAGTCACCATGTGCCAGGCACTGGACTAAATATAGGGAGAAAAAAAATCACAAAGGCGAATTTCAGTCTACAGGTATCTCACAATCCATTTCAAAAGACAGATTTTTTTTTCCACCATAAATAAAGTTAGCATGGTAATGTCATTTAAATAATTTGTTTCTTAGGAATAAATTAGTATGAGGTATAATAAAAGCCCCCTATTAAGTGAGAGGATTTGGACAATTTTAAGTCTCAGTGATATAGATTACTATTTGTTTAATTAACTATTGTCAGTAACATTTAATATTTACATTTTTACTCAGCATAATGTGTATCTATATCAACACAAACTCATTTTAGTTTTCTCACTTCCAATCTGACAGATATCAAAATTGTCTGATTTATATTTTAGGAAGTTTATTTGGCACTATAGTGGATAATGTAATGGAGAGAAATGACACTTGAAGAATTCACATAATCCTTTCTTCATAAATGTTGGGTAAATGAAGTTGAGGTTTTTAAGTAAGGCAGATACAATGCAAATAAAAATAGAAGTTAAATTCAATAATCAATAAAAGTCAGACTAAGTTCTTTAGATGAAACATAAATATGTATGAGTGGAATGTAAACATTTTTGGGCAAATGTCTGCAAAATTATGCTTGAATGTGTTCAGATGAAAGCAGAAAGTGTTAGTTGTCCCTAAGAATCTAAATTAGAGTCTACCTTTGAGGACCTCTCTCTTTAAAAAAAAATAAATTGAGTCTGATACAAGTGTGTGTGTGTTTTAAAGGAGGATATACAAGCTATGCAGATATAGATTAAGAACATTGCTGAACGTGTTTTATTAGAAAAATAAGAAAAAAAGAGGCAATGGCTGTGAACATCTGGAATTAAATTCTGTAAGCATGTGGAAAGCAAATACCCTTTGTGATGGCCAAAAGATGTGTATTACTTGGGTCCTTTGGAAAATAGAATGCGGAGACAGAGATAGGAGTGCCAATGGCTTATTAGGTGTCTATGACTGTGAAAAATGAAAGAGGTATGAAGCCGATTTGGGCATGGAAGTTCCTCTTATCAAATGCAGATCTTCTACCCATGCAATGAAAGAGGAGAAAAAGCAGTATAAGGCAATGTACATCTGACAACATCTTGGCCAAACCAATGGGATCCCTGGAGCAAAGATTACTCTTAAAAGGAGTCCCGTGTTGCACATAAATGGCCAGGCTTTAATAAACCCACCATGCTCCGTCATTGGTTGGGATGTGCCTGGGAAGAGCAGGGTGTTGGCTTGGATCCTGAGGTCAATCCTAAGGTACTTCAGCCGCAGGGTCTCAGATAACTGCATGCAAATCCTTAAATTAATCCTTTGGCAGGAAAATCCAAATGGTGGGTTTCTGTGCCTTCCACAATGTGTGTGTGTGTGTGTGCATATGTATATACATATACACACGCATATACACACATATGAGTATATACATATATGCACATGTATATGAATATGCGTGTGTATATACACACATACATGTATATACAGGTATACGTGTATATATAAATATATACATATATTTATGTATATATACAGGTATATATACACATATGTATATGTGTATATATACACACATGTGTACATGAAGAAAACAACGTTTGATTCTATAAATTTAGCAAATATGATGTTAAAAACTGTAATATGCAGCAATAGCAAGTACTTGGTGAATAAACTAATAGTGGGAATAGTAATATATACATTGATTTTTAAAATGCATGCTATGGATCAAAAACATTAAGAATGGCTACTAATTTTGACCCAAGAATCCGAATTCTAGAAAAAGAAAGAAAATGTCACGGATGAGCAGACTCGTTACCTAAGACCCACACACGTCTGTGAGTGCCTAAGAAGATGGTTCTTTACATGATAGGTCTGTACATTACTTTAGGAAGTGACCCAGCAAAGACGGGTTGGAAAATGTTGGCTGAATACCATTACATATCACCACTTATGTGGGACCAACCTTCAGTTCCTTTTTGCACCAGGATTCTGGCATACTATCAAGGGTCAATCTGTAGCTAAAATGATCAGTATTGTGACAGTGAACACTCCCTCACCAGGTTACATAAGGTAGTCATGTTCATACTCTTTATAAAGAAGATTGCCCATTGACCACTGTCAGCTCATCTTTGATGTTATCATGTTTTCAACAACAAAAAATAAACCAAGACATGAGACAATAAATCTTGTATGTATCTTGTTTTATTCATGCCAAGAATGCCAAAAACAGAACTCTGGAATTTGGAACAGATAAGTTCTCCTCTCCCCTTGCTTGTTACATTTCACTTCATGGAATTATTTTCTGTTGCCATAACATATCAGAGAGAGCTTCTTCTGTTGTTTCAGTTATCAGCTTAAGAGCACAGAGAGATATGCCGTTTATTCTTTATTTTCTTCTTTGAGCTTTAACAAAATCAGGGTTATCTTGTTTATTGACTTGTTTATATTTTTAAAGTTAGTTACCATGCTAGAGTGCCAGGTCTAGGAAAGAATGGGGATTGTATGATTTGTTGATTTTGCAAATCTATGTATCCATATGCGTAGGTGTCTGGCACCTACAAGACCTTTAATAAGTAGTGAAGGATGGAATGAGGGAAAGAGGAAAGGAAGAAAGGAAGGAAGGGAGGAAGGAAGGAAGGAAGGAAGGAAGGAAGGAAGGAAGGAAGGAAGG